AAAAAAAAAAAAAGTTGTTGTTGTCTTCAAAAAGATACCACTTTACTAAGCATTAGAATTAGCATCCAAATTCCGATTGTTCAATCAAACTGCCTTCCTTTTTTTTTTTTTTTTTTTTTTTGCGATTTTAGCACTTTAATTATGCAACATCAAAGTAATTAGTCAGAAACTTTCGCCAGAATACTTTTGGCTTTGAAAAGTCAATAGCTTTAAGTCTTTAAGTAATTAATGCGGAAAAAAAACTGTGTATATTTGGTAATGCTATTAAAAAACAAACGAACAAACAAACTGTCTGATACCAATTTAGAATTAAAATATTTGGTTCACAACTATTGATGTTAAATTTTTTTTTTTGTACATTTTAGATAAATTCTGCAATTGAATTGTTCTTAGAATATCCAAAATTTTACCGAAACAGTAGCAGAACAGTTTTGAATGATGATTTACAAAAAGCAAGAATAAAAATGACGATTTCAATGTATCGTCGGGTGTAATATCGATGTACAATTAGCATATTAGAAGCAAAAACAGAAGCAACAATCAACAACAAACAACAACGACGACGACGAAGACGAAGAGGACAGAAAACAAAAGATACAAAACAAAAATTATAAAAAAATTAATTATATTAACGACTTTTGCTTATTTTTACTGTCTTTTCTCCTTCTTTTTGCTTTGACTAGACAGAATGTAATAATAATAATAATTTCACAAAATTATTTCAAATAAAATAAATAAATTTTTTTCTTCTACATTTTTGGAAAAAACTGTGAAGAAGGCATTGTTGCACAATTTATGAAAAGGCACTGATAGTATCAACAAAAAATCACCCAGTTGAAAGATAGCAGTAAAAGAATTCTAAAATTTTTTTAATAATCATAAATAATGTTCGCTATAAAAAATGTTATCTGATACAAATTGAAAACAACAAAAAAAAAAAACGAAAATACAGCTGATTTTGAAGCATTTGATCTGTACACCAAAAGGTGCATCTGTGGCAAAGCGTAATCAGTCTGCTTATACGTCAAACAATGCAATATGATAAAAAAAAAAATCCAAAACCAAAACATAAAGATTATAAACTGTCTCAGAAAATTGCACTATCAATAATAGCTAACAATAATATAATAGGTTTAGCCATTGATAAACAGAGAATAGCCGTTAATAAAAACCAAATTAAAAATCTATATAATTTTTTCTAAATCAAACTATTTAACATTTAATTTTGCTGAATATCCTTTTAAATGTTTCAAACAAAAACCAAAAAAATGAAAAAACCTGGCAAAAATAAAAATAAAAAACGTAAATAGTACTAAGGTTATTGAAAGCTCTGGTAAATAAAAGTCTAAAAATGTATAATTTTATTAAGGTTTAACACAGAAAGAGATTTTTTTTCTGTTTTTCTAAGCACCACTTTGCAAAATCTATCAGTATTGCCGTTGACAATTACGATTGTCAGGTAAAGGATACCACAGAATTGGTACTGCTATACAGCTCTAACTAAGACAGCAAGTTTATGCACTAAAGAATTGGCACTTTCAGTCGTAACTTTTTTGGCGAATTTTTCATGGTAATCTTATAAGATTACTCTTATATTTTCTTCATTTATTTTTTATATAATTACTTATTTGTTTTTAAAGAACTAATTAGCCGATCAGTTAATAGCCTTATTATTCTAACTTGAAAATACAGTTGTTTTTGAGCTATAAAAAGAGTTAACCTTAGCGTAGATAATGAGACTTTAAAAACGCATTAATTACAAGTGGTGCGGCAAAAAAGAGCAAATTTTTACAGTCATAAATGTTAACGAAACTAGGCTGAAAATTCAGTAAATTCCTAGTTGTCTAAGATGAAAAAATTTGGTGAATTTACACTACCAAGTCCAATACTGCGCATCAGTGCTGAGAAACCTGGAAATCCAATGTTGCAACTACGGGAACCAGAAACACCAAGCAGTAGTGATGCAAATGCCTTTCTTGTGCTAAGTGTTCTGTTGTACCAGTCGACAGCAATACCGTCTGTGGCACCGATGTAAGGCCCAACGTGATATCAATTACTATACTAAATTGGCTTTCCAGTATCAGCCTCATTCAGTGAAACACTGACCTTAAAAAGTTTCATAACACTATCACTTACTTTTCAATGTTTCATATTTAAAATTGCTAATTTCTTCTTCAATTTTAACAGAAACTTTGAGCTAATTACCTACAATTTCCCAGCAAAATTACAAGATTCTTATTTGGCTTAAATTTATGAGGTTAAGTAATGGAATAACTTTCTACAAATGTAGAATTAATCGTGAAACTACCAATTTGACAATGTAACAAATGTGGTAATGGTTTTTCCATTGTCTGTATTTCTTCCCAGTAGCAAAAGAAGCTGTTTTGCAAAAATTATCTCATGACTAGTTATAACATTTCTAGCTATAAAACTGTTGTGCATTTACCATTAAAAGTTATAATAACTGCAGATAACTAGCTACTGCCGTTGCTGTTCTGTTAGGATTGAATTAATAAATTAGCGTGCTAACTGCAGTTTTGCAAAAAACTATTTTACGAAACTTAAAGCCGTTTTCGAATTGGTTGCAACTTTGACTGATAAAATAGAAATCTAAAATAACAAAAATAGTCAAAAGCAAGAAAAAAAAGAAATTTTTTTCTACCTGTGTACCTCCTCCCCCCCTCAATTCCAAATAAGTTTCCAACTGATACAAACCATCCAGTTCTATATCCATACACTCCCTGATGCCAGTTACCACGACTTTCATTCGTCTGACTAAAATATTCTCGCACTCGTACAGTATCAGTATATCCTCCGCCCCACGACCGGAAATCAACCTTAAAAAATTTTTTTGTTTTGCAATCACAACTGGAAACGTTCATTGATACTTCGAAAGACATTTTTTAAAAACTATAATGTAAGAGTATTTCTTTGGTCGAATTCTTATTAAACATTTTAGCAAATCGATGATTCTAAACGTTAAAAAAGTTTTTTCGGTTTTTTAATTTTTATATTTTTTGTTGCTTTTCAAAACTAAATGTTGTTTTTTCGCTAAATGTGCTACTAATTGTTTCATCTTTAGCAACTACCAAAACCTTTCCATCATGACCGCCGTTAACAGATCCTTCGCTGTTGAATGGGTAATATGGAATACCGTTGACACCCTAGTCATAAAAAGTGACTCCAACGTTTGAAATGAATGCGTTAGCTGCAGCTTCCAAAAATTTATTCCCAGCTTTTTCTTGCAGGCAATCTTTGGTATAGCTCCAACATTTGCCGACAAATTGCTGTTCTGTTTCTAATCCACGGCAGTACCGTGCTGCTAATGGCGCAAATCTCTTGCATAATACTTCAATTTCTTCAGGTTTTAAACTAGAGCTTAACACATTTAAGTGAGAAATCTAAAATAAACTGCTTTAAGCTGACATAGGATTTTTTTGTTCCAAGAATATTCAATACTGTATCGCGCTGTTTTTATCCACTGGTGTGTTTAAAAACTTGCAGAATCCTCTATTTAATTGCATGTTATAAATGTATTACCTGTTTGACAGGTAGTAAACGAGAAACGTTTCGAAGCGCTTTTGAGCTTCTTCGATTTTCAGCAACCTGTTTAGCTTTTTGAGACCATTGAGCATTATCGCTGTCTTTATAACCTTGTAAAGTGCCCTCTGTGGTAAGCAAATATGTAAGTTTCTAAAAAAAACCTTTTTTACCATCACATGACTGGACTTACCGCAAATAATTAAACGATTCTCAAATAAGTAACAAAAAACAATATTGATTTAGTTTAGCCAAAAAAACTACTTGAGTCAATATTTCGTAAAATTATTCAAAATTTTATTGTGATGAATATATATAATTAAACGTAACCGATGTGTCATCTTCCATAGGCCGTTTTAGTTTCCATTCTCCAGAAGCTTCAGTACTATCATCAACAACTGCTTTTCTCCCTCTTTCATAATCTCCTGTAAGCTTAGGCTCTGGTCCAGTAAGTTCGGTGTCGTCGAATTCCCTTTTTATAAGCTCTTTGTATTTGTCTAACTGCTGGTTCAGCCTTGAAAGCAAAGTATAGGGCAAAACGAAAGAAGAAACTGAAAGAATTGTAAAAATATCTTTGATTATTCTGACTTTGTTAAAGTCATAATGTGAGATAAGTGAGTATTTTGGAAAAACAGGCATATTTGAGTCTGCAAAAAAATCCAAGTACATTGTTGAAATAATAACACCTTGAAAGTTCAAGAATTTAAAGCTCAACCTACTTGCATTAGCAATGCTAATTAGTTCCGTTTCTTCATTTTCGGCATCAGAGTTCTCTAATTTTTTTAAAGACGTCGGTTCTTCGTGAGAACGCTTTGCTGTATCTCCAACATCATATTCGCTGTATCCTACAAATCGTTGTACTGGAGTTTCATCATCGTTTTTTACCAACAATCTTTCTAGAAGAAGCAATCTATTAAATAAGTTGTTTTAAGAATTTTGTGGGTTTTTTGATCGTTTTAATACAGCAAACTCTTGTAGCGACATGTATTAGAAAATAAGGTCTTATTTTCCTCTGTTGAAAGAAAGAAGAGATTTTTGAAAAGGCAAGTTTTCGAATGTAATGTTCTTTGCATAAATGAGTAGATAAGAAAAGGAAAAGTAGAAGTTGCCTATCACCAGAAGTTCAACAAGTCTAAGAACGAAAACAATTTTTTGTTTGAATTACGGTTTACTTTCTTTTTACAGTGTTAAAGAAAAGTTGTATGCTACAAGAGACATTTTATTAGAATTATCAGTGAACGAAGAAACCGTTAAGAATCGATAATAAAATTTTGTCGTACAACCCAGGAACTAAAGGACTGCAGAACATTTTTCTGAAAAGTTTCGCGTTTAAATAAGCCCATTTTATTCAGGTTCTCTATTTTCTTGATCTTATTATTACATAAGGTAAAGTACAATCAAGTTTCTTGACCAAAAACTACAAGAGGGCGTTTGATTCTGCAAAAAAAGTTAAATCAGAAACAACCGAATTAGACTTTGTTTTGTTTTGGCACACAAAAATATATTATGAGCTAAAATTGAAGCAGAGTATAGCAACTTGTTTAGTATTTTGAAATCTGAAACAATTTTGAAAAATTTGTTGCTTTTACATTAAGCTGATCAAAGATTGTACATAAAATTTTCTCTTTCTTTAACAGATAACACTTCATTTAAGTCAAAAATTTAGAAAAAATTAAGCTTATTGCAATACTTTTGTTTTGATTCTTGTCTCGAGAACTCTTTCAAATGAAAAATTTGCTTATTGCTTCAAATGAAACCTTTTCTGCTTATGTAATTCGTGCTTTCAGTCTCGTTATAATCTTCTAAGCTCCCAACGTTCTTCACATTTCATTATTCCGTAGAGATTCTTAACTCATTTCTTGAATGAAATCTTTTATTGAGCACTTTAAGCTGTATTTGCACAGTAAAGCCGCTTAGAGTTTCTATTTTGAAAATTTGGAAAGTCTGTGTGATAATAGCAGCAAATTTTTTTAGAAGGAATTTTTCGTTTGATTGTCTCTTTGTGGATTTAGAGAAGACAATGACTTACGGCTCATGCCAAAAATTTAATTATTGAGTGGGAAAGACAGATAACACTTTTTTGTGGAAGGAAAGTTTAGTTGTATTAGAGCATTCAGTCGCCTTCAGTGTCATTTTCTTTCGTTTTGACATCATTTTTTTTTGGCGTTCAGGCGCTTACCACAAAAGCTGACATTGTTCTACTTAACTTCTAAGAAAGGCTGCACCACTATTTCTTTGTAGTGCTACTGATACTCATTATCACTTGAAGGTTCTTATTTAGTTTTGATCAACCCTGCTGAATTGCACATCAAATTTCTCATAAAAAAGAGAATTGGCCTAGAATCCAGTTTTTCTCCTATCTTTCTTTCCGAGCCGACAGAAAGCATCAAGATGAGGAAGAAAACTACACGTTGAAAAAACAATAATTGGAAACGAAAAGTGTAAATTAAGAAAAATATTTGTTTCTTATAAAAAGTTATTGTCACTCTTTGTTAATATTAATTCTAAATGCTTTCTGGACTACTAAACCAATAGAATTGATGAAAAGCTACTTAATTAATACCATATTTATCACACCGTTACAGAAATTCAAAATGTTTGTGAGAGAAACCTGAACTAACTAAAAAGCTCTGCTACCGACGCATCCTACTTCGACAGGTCCAATGCCAGAAGCAACAAATATCTTTTTCTTCTTATTAACTGACCTACGATAAATGAATGGATACATAAAAGATGAACTGCAGAATTATGTTTTATTCTAACTTTTTTCATTTCTGATTTACACGTTTCATCATGAAATTACTACTCAGCTGCTTTAGTTCAATAAATTAAAAAACTGTAATTTATTAGGTTTTCTTCATAACTTATATTGTTATTACTCCTAAATAATGGCACTAAGGTTGGCAAAAGCAAGCACTGATTTTACTATATATATATATATATATATATATATATATATATAT